CACCCGTCTGGGAACCTTTTGCTAGCTACATCAGTACTCTTCCCTATTTGGTTTACCTTTGTTCAAGACTCAAATATTATTGTCTTCTCTTTTATACATTTTCAGGCTAATGCTCTTTTCCCTTGTGCTCCAATGCGCTTCGAAGATAACTAGTTATTTTAATTATTTCTATGCATACAGGTGTACTTTCTATTAGTGTGAATTTTGAAAGGGCAGATATTCATACATTCTATTGATTTTTAGGTCCATAGCAAATAAGCCCTGTACTGAACACAGAGGGCATGCTCAGCAAATACTTGTAAAATGAATGAATGGAAAACCAAGGTCTCTCATTCTCCCAAAACCCAGTTCTCTGCACTGGTCCTCTACTCTAAGTACTATGATAACTTCCTATGTGCCAAGCAGAACTGACTAGCCTATGTTGCTGTATTTTATTGTCACAGCAACAACACTGAGTTGGTCCTATTGCTGGTACCCTTTTACTGATGAGGAAATTGAGACTTTTGAGAGACATTTAGTTACTTCCTCAAAGTCACACAGCTAATCAGTGACAGATGTCCCTCAAATGATGGTGCTGTGGAAAAACGAGGGAAGAAGCACATGACAAAATGGACATTGTTGGGTAAAAGCCACAACAATAACCACAGCAGTGTACACTAGTGCTATCACTAAAGCAGCAGCAGAATAATCCAAAATGATTACTATCTAAAACAAGGAAGGCAAGGCTGTGGGTAACCTGACAGGTCTCACCCAATCAACTCTGGTACTTGGAATTCCATCAAAACAATGGACAGATTGTTTCTGCCACCTCCCCAGAAACCTCTTCCAGAGGCTCTGCATGTGGAAATATAACCTTTAGCCAATCTAAATGTGGCACGCTGCTCTCTGAGCTCCATATTTATCATGAAGCTATTTTCATCATCTTCCTTTTCCTTGTTTCTTGCAACTGGCATTATGTTTCTGTCCTCTATTTTATTCAAAAGGATGTGTTTCTATTCAATGAAACAGATCAGTGGCCTTTTCTACCACTAAATCGTAAATCTCCTCTTACAACTTTGAAGAAAAACCTAGTAATCAAAACAGTTTCTAGATTTTTTTCAATACCTAGAAATTCACTGACAAACAAGATTGAAAAAAAGCCTTCCCACCTACCCCACACGCTTGTGAACATTTACAACGCCATCATTGTTTGTTGTGTTTGATTCATTTTTGTCAGCAGGCTTCCTTTGTACAGTTAAACTACTTTCTTATGCTAAGCTCTCTGTGAATTGTCACAATGGTTGACAAAAAATTCTGTATCAAATACTACTTAATTTTAAGCATTTCTGTCTTCCAATTTATTACTTAGTACAAATTTCATTTTGCCAGGGCAAAAAAACAATTTGTTTGTTTCATATTGAAAACAGTTTTTCAAATAAATTCTGATGGTACACTTATCAAGCCCTCTTATCTTTCATTAAACTAATGCTTTCAAGCATAATTAAGAATGAAAGGGAAAACTAAGTATATTGTAATGCTCTGATATTAAAGAAGACATATCAAAATAAATTTACAATCACATCATCACATCAATCTCTACTACGACTACAATAGTATTATAACCATAATTAATTAGCTATGGTACAAATTACTAATAAATCTTTAGATATTAAATGCCTAATTTTTCAAAACCATATGTCTTTGTAAATTGATTATTTAGAATTTAGAGGCTTTTTAATTAGGAAGAAATTTATGCAATGCTGTATGTAATAATTAGGAATCAGCTTTTCTGCAATACTTTTGAACATCAGCAAAAATTAAAGCTGTGGAAAATAGTCTGAGTTAATTACAGTATTTCACTGTCAAAAATCAACATATAGGTAAAATTTAGAGGTTAATGTGGCATTTCCATTTCTTTAACTTCCACCTAGCCTTATGTTCTTAGTGCTTGAATCATTAACCGAATCCAAAAATCAATGAGACGGGGGAAGTCTCCTTAGTGATTTATGCCTCTAAGAAAGTTTTCATTTTATCCAATAGTTTCAGCAAACCTCATCAATCCAGGTTAAACATTTAATGCTTTTTTTTTTTTTCTCTTTTCTCTATTCCCTAAGGATAAAGCTGGAATATTTCTGAGCCTTGCCATCATTTTTGGTAAGTGATTATTTTGACATAAGACACAAAAGCTGCTTTGTCAGGAGGGTGGGAATGTCATTTGGGGTCAAAGACATTGCTGAAGTGAGACCTCATTGTGTGTGTGGTCAAAAGACCCCAAGAGATGGGGAGAGGACCTGATGGTGAACCACTTCACACTCACAGGGGCCTGCTGAGGGTGGATTTCAAAGTCAAGGCCCTCCTGTGTCCAGAGGACTTGTGGGGAGGGAGCCTCGGACATATCTTATTCTGCCGACACTATAGAAAGGTGTGGAAGTTACTATAAATAAGAGAGGAATATTACAAAAAACAAGGAATGATTGCCTACACAACACAGAAGCCAGTTTTTTCTCCTTCTTGCTTCAACTCCTCCCCACTTCAGTTCTCTGAAGACATCCCAGCCAATGTGTTTCCTACCCATAAGGTGCTGTAGGAAAGAGGGCGGTCTGGGTAAAATTCACCTTTGTTCCTCTGAATGCTTCCCATTATGTCTTATTTTAAAATTTATTTTCTTTAATAAAAACCTAGATCCTCAGTCACCCAAAGCCAGTGTCCTCCTGTCCATCCAGGAAACAGAATTTTTCTTCCCTGATGGCTCCAAAAGGAATTAAGCCACTGTTTTCTCCTGCTGGGTTTCTGTTGTGCATCTTTAAGCCATTTCTTCATCTGAAGGTCTTCAGGCAAACCCACTAAACCTCTTGAGCACATGACTCAAGAGTGACAATTGCTAACAGATGCATTTGTACATTTGTATTCTGGCAGAATTGGTCTTAAATTGTTGCTCATAGGAGAAAGGAAGAGCAACTGTAGCACCTCTGTTCACTGTTGCTGGCAGATAACAAACTTGAGATGAAGCCACATTTACAGGGGGAAAATTGCCTACGCCCACAGAATGAAATTTCAGGCTTTGACAGTTGCTAGGTAAGTAAATGAGAATCATTTTATTCTAGGTGAACGTAACACCTAGCACATCTTGAACAATAAGAAGAGTTGGTGGCCCGAGGGTGGTGACACCCCAGGTTGTACATGTTCAGAAGAGTCTCCTGGGAGGAAATATAAGGAACTAGTGGCCAAACAATCGCCCCCTTATGGTTCCTCATAATCTTAAGTAGAAGGTACAGCTCCTCTCAAAGAGAACCTCAGAAAATGACTTTAATTCTCTGATTTTAATTCAACAAATATTGCACCAACTCTGAAGAAGCCCTGTATGAAGGCCCAAGGCCTCCACCTGAATCCGGGATACCTTCATCTCATGCCTGAATGCTTTTAACAACCTCGAGTAGTTTCATGACTTCAATCTTTGCCCTGCAGCCAGAAAAACAAAAACAAACCTTTCTAAAAAGTTACTTTTTCCCTTCTTATAAAATCGTTCAATAACTCCACCTACCATCAGGAACAATCCCACTTCTTGACATAGACCTACAAGGCCCTCCCATGCTAGCTCCTGTTAACTTTTCCAACTTGGTTTCTCAGTGTGACCCACCCCTCTCCACCCCAGCCTCTATGCCTTTGAGACGTTCTTCCCTTTCCCCACCCTTCCCTTTCCACTTTTCTGGCCAACCTTTAGGTTTCAGCTTTCACCGCTGCTTTCCCCAAAAAGCCTTCTCTGACTTGTCAAGTGGGTTAGATGCCCTCTTTCTGTGGTTCCACAGCTCCGTTTGTGTCCCCGGTGTATCTTTATCAGACTTTATTGCTTGTTTGTATTCTGTCTCCGGATCCTTCAAGGTTACAAGGGACAGAAACTCAGCTCGAATCAGCTGAAGCTAAAGAGGAAATGTGCTGGGCCCTGGGTTAGCTCCCAGACCGCCGGAAATGCCAAACAAACAAGCTTGAGGAAAGCAGAAACTGGGGCCCCTCCCAGATCTCTGGATTCTGCATTAGGGCTTTCAACACTGATCACGGCGTATCTGTGAGAGTTCTGATTGCTCCTTCTTAGGTCATGTGTTTGCCTAGACTAAGAACTGTGGTCCTGGTTTAGGAAATATATAAGAAGATCTAGAATTCCGCTCGGAACACTTTTCAAACCCTTGGGTAACAGAAAGGGAATGCAGGAGAACAGAAGGAGGGCAGGGCTGGCTGTTACGTAGATCACCTATTGCTGCAAAACTAACAACCAGAAAACCTCAGTGGCAAACAGCAATATATATATATTTTTAAATGCAATTGCAGGAGGTCAACTGATACAGTCTTGATGGCTTCGCTTTAATCTGAAGGTCTGGCTGAACCAGGATCCTCAAGGTAGGGGAAACTGAGGCTTACTCCAGGGATGCTCATTTGGGGCCCCAGGCTGAAGGAGAAATGTCACCTTTTCATTGTCTGTGTCTTGCTCAGTGGCTGACACGTAGGATAGGTGCCTCATAAATTTGAATTTAATAAATGAGTAATCACGCCCAGTGTCCAATAAACTACCTCTTTAGCTTAAGCTGATTTGAGTTTCTGTCCCTTGAACCCTTGAAGGATCCAGAGACCAAACATGAACAGGCAACACAGTCTGATAAAGACACACCAGGGACACAAAGGGGGCTGTGTGGTCCTTTCTATGGATCTTGGCAAATAGACAAGTCAGGAAAAGGTGCTTGAGACAAAGGGAATAGTCTGAATTTGGTATAAGAAGAGAGAGGGCACATCTTAGAATGGCTATGTGACTACTACATGGAGCGCATTGCAAACTACAGGGCTACGATGGTAAATAGAGGACAAGTGCGGAGGGAGGAGTGTACGCTTTATTCTGCCTATAAGTATCTATTAGGGCCATGGGGGTACAACTCAATGTATGACCTCGTAGGTAAGAGTTTATGATGCATTTATGGCAAAACAGATTATAGGTGATATCTAAAATGGAATAATTTAGAACCAGTGCACCTACACAAATTTTTATTATTAGCTGGCTAATGAAGGAAAGAAATGCACTTAATTGGGTAAACAGTTTATTTCTTATCTTCTTTTAAGCTGTCTGAAAGAATAGAATTTGGCTAGCTGGTTTTCTATCCTTGAAAGTATAAAGAAGGCTGGACTGTCTGAAAATATTCTTTTCTGGGAGCATGTACGTAGACAACTGAAATAAACCGCAACTCACTGGTGCCAAATATATCACACATCAGCCCACCTCCTGCCACGGTGAGCTTGTAGCAGAGAAAAGAATGTTCTCAGGTGAGGAGGATGTCAGCCTCATTCTAGAGAAAGAGGAGCCAGTCCTGCATGTGAGTGTGATTTCAAAGCTAGAGTTCTGAGGCTACAAAGAAAAAAAAGGGCTGAAGAACAGGTCCCTGTCCCCCGTCCCCAAACAATGATGCAGGGCCATCACCATCCATACCTTTTCATTATAAAGACAGGAGTTGAGAGTCCAGTTGATAATTCTAAACACAAGCCTTTTGCCCAATATAGAGGACAACTCTCATTGTTATTCTATATACTGCTCATATTCCACCCTATTGGTTAATAGGAAATAATAACAATAAATAAAGCTTGCTCTGAGGAGAGAGGGAGGGAGGGAGGGAGGGAGGAAGAAAGGATGGAGGGAGAAAGAGAAGGAAGGAGTCATTGTACTGACTTTTCAGGTAAAAGCCAGACAACTGGTTAACAACTGCCATGCAGTAATGGGGCAGGGCTCTGCTGGGGTGCAGGGGCTCATGGACCCCCAGATAATTCTAATCAGACATGCTAGATGTTTGACAGAAAAGTGGATTCTGTTTGATGATTTGTTTCAAGAAGTTAAGGGGACAGAAGTTAAATTATGTTTCTGTTTTTTTCTTCCTCCAAATGAAACTCATTCTAAACGCCCAACTAAAAAATGATCTTACAGATCCGTGTAGTCTAATGCCTATGGACAGGTTGCTATTCAAATTTAAAATTAAAAACTGGTTTTTTTTTTTTTTTGAGATGAAGTCTCGCTCTTGTCCCCCAGGCTGGAGTGCAATGGTGCAATCTTGGCTCACTACAACCTCTGCCTCCCAGGTTCAAGCGATTATCCTTCCTCAGACTCCCGAGTAACTGGGATTATAGGTGCCTGCTACCACGCCTGGCTAATTTTTGTATTTTTTAAGTAGAGATGGGGTTTCACCATGTTGGCCAGGCTGGTCTCGAACTCCTGACCTCAGGTGATCTGCTTGCCTCGGCCTCCCAAAGTGCTAGGATTACAGGCATGAGCCACCGCACCTGGCCAATTAAAAACTTAATTTAAAAAATTAAATTTAAAAAATGTAGCTCTTTAGCGGTTACCATATTAGATAACATAAATACAGAACATTTGCATCATCATACAAGTTGTACTGGACAGCACTGCAGATGCTGATGGTCACCATTCTCTAACATTGCTCAGCCTCCTTGTTCTACCAACTGGAAGTCTGGGAAAATTCTGGAGGATAGCAGAGGCTATCAATACAGGGACTGTGAAATCTAACAAGCAAATCATCTTTTCATTTCTTAGGTTCAGAGAGGGGCTTGCCTGCTGAGGAGCCATGCTCTCTCCACGATGAAGAACTAGAGACCGTCTTGTGCAGCGGGCTGGCAGAGAGGAGCCAGACAGTGAACTGGAAAATGCCCAGGATCGCAATTCAGAGGACATGGGCTCTCACCTTGGCTCTGTGACTCGTTTTGTGCCTTTCATCCCTACAATCTCTCTGAACCTCAGTCTCTGAATCAATAAAATGAGACTAACCACACCAATCTGGCTGAATATAAAGGTATAACATCCTAATCAGACACAGGAATTTGTGCTTGCACAGCAAATGCCTCAGTAGCATACCTTTGGGAAACCATTGCTCTTAGGTGGTATTGTGAACAATGGGCCTCTTAATCTAGGTACTCTCACTCTAGTTCTTCCATGAGGATTTCTGGGAAGTCTGCCTATGAGGGAAGGTTGTGACCCGTGACCTACTGCTGCTTTGGGAAGTCTTCAGCAGCTGGTGCCAGCTGTGTTTTCCTGATACATTTTTTTTGTGTGTTTGAGATGGAGTCTTGGTCTGTTGCCCAGGCTGGAGTGCAGTGGCGTGACCTCAGCTCACTGTAACCTCCACCTCCAGGGTTCAAGCGATTCTCCTGCCTCAGACTCTTGAGTAGCTGGGATTGCAGGTGTGCACCACCACGGCCAGCTAATTTTCTTGTATTTTTAGTAGAGATGGGGTTTCACCATGTTGGCCAGGCTGGTCTTGAACTCCTGACCTCAGGTGATCCGCCCACCTCGGCCTCCCAAAGTGCTGGGATTACAGGCATGAGCCACTGCGCCCGGCCTCCTGATACATTTAATAAGAGAGGTATATGTAATCCTCTGCCATCTTTAACAGAGACTTTCACAGGTTCTGTGAATTACCTGGTGCTCTTCAGGACACAGGCAATGCCACAAATATCACACCCACGGATGAGGCTACCCAGTCCATGTCCCTGCATGGGGAAGTTCTCCCACCACCCCAGAGCCTTCAAAGGAGCACACATTGATTTGCTCTAAAGAGTATCAACTTTGAAAGCTTCTAAACATGCCCCAAAGGAGACAATTTGAAAATTCTAAACACAGGTCATTGAACATTTATTGCCAGTTGTCTTGATTATTCTGAGAGGTAAAAAGCACTCATGTTTAAATCTACGTTTGAACCATCTAGTCTTACCTGCCTATTCCATGAGAATAAAGAACATCTCTTTGTTTTAATCTGTCCTCACCTACTATATGCTTTTGGACTCCTACTCTTTGAGCCCAAAGAAACCCGCAATTCACTACTGGGGCCAAAGAAAGAGATGATTCTAATGTTCCTCAGTTAGAATATTGCTATCTTGCACCCTACTCAAGTTACTTTGAAGATGACAACATGGACCACACAATGGCTCAGGCTGTTGCTGGTGGTAGTAGTGGGGGACTGAGATGAAGACAGCTACGTTCTATATTCTGAAGGCAGCCTGAGAGTAGAGAGGGGATATCCACCCTACAGTGGTAGTTCTTAAACGTCAGCATCATCAGAAGCACTTGAAGGGTTTGTTAAAACTCAAATTGCCTGGCCCACCCTCCAGGTTTCTCATTCAATTGACCAGGGGTAGGGCAGGGATAGGGCCTGAGAATCTGCATTTCTACCAGATTCCTAGGTAATGTTCATGCTGCCTGTCCAAGGACTCAACTTTGAGAATCGCGACTTCAGGACCTTCTCAAGCTTCATTTCATATGCACACATGCAAGGGGAAATGCATTTCTCAAAACATGTTTCCTTAAATGTGATGCCAACTTGAGTGACCAAAGCAAATGATAATGGCTAATATGTGCATAGCTCTTACTGTGTTCTAGGCACTGTTCTAAGTGCTTAAATATACTAACAGATTTAATTCTCACAAAAATTGTATAAAAGTTGTATTATATTATCTTTCTTTGACAAATGTGATCCGGAGAAGTAACTTTCCTAAGGTTACACAGCTAAAGTATGCATTAGGGTTGGTGCAGGAACACAGGAAGTCTGGCACCAGAGGCTACAGGCACTGCACTACATTGCCTCTCCCTGCAACCCCCTTTATTTTCCAACATTATCCTCATCCCCGGGCAAATGACAACATTCCTTTCAGAGAGTCCTCCTTGGGAGCCTCCCTTAAATGGGATGTTAACAACCTCAAGGCTGTTTGACGTTAGCCTTGGTCAAGTTTATTTTTAATACCTAGTAACTATAACAGAGCACAGTTTCTCATTTGCCTATACCCTGTCATTTTGGGAGTATCCTTGATTCAATAATTATTATTTTACAAGGAATGCAGAAAGACTTGACAAATAGAAAAACGGAAGCCTGAGTGAAGGAAGAGAAACAATAAACAGGAAAGAGAAAATAATAAAGCAATAGGAAGAAGGGTAAAAATAACCAGATGGAAAGGTCGAAGTAGATACAATGCAGGAGATAAGGATGGGAGAGAAAAATACGAAAACTAAACATGCATGACAAAATAGTTAAAGTCCAACTAGATGTCATACTGAGAAAATAGAAATATAAAACCTAAGCATAAAGCCAGTCACGATGAGTAAATAGAGGACATGAGGAGAGGAGGAAATTAGCAGGGGGAGGGAGACGAAAGATGCCACTAATTGGATTTTGAACTCCAGTTGCTATAATTGGGCATTTAAGCTATATCAACATTCTTCTTCATCTTTAGAATATTTCGCAATCTTTTAAAATACAGGAAACGCCATTTGATTTTGTCCCAACTCTGGCCACTCAAATCCTGGTTGCTTGTTTATTTTTTCTTGAGCAAGAAAAGTTTCACTAAGGGTTGGCATGCAGGATAAATCTTTTAGAGGAAAGAGGGGGAAATAATTCAATAGGAAGGAAGGATTCATTATGACAAGGGCTGGGTCAGGGAAATGGTCACATAACTGCATTCCTGAAAGCAAAGGCCTGCTAAAAAACTAAACCTGAGTCTTAAGGCTGTTTGCTCTGCCCTGGGATCGAGTTGAGGTCACTCTGGAGGCCAGTCACAGAGCCTGAGACTCTGAACGTTCTGTTTTAGATTAAGAGCTGGGTTCACCCAACGGGTACAGAGTGGGAAAGAGGATGGACGATGTCAGCTCTAGTCTGAGGGCTGGCGTCCTGCATGTGAGGATCCCATCACTCCAGGACCTCCCTAGGAGTTCGTTGTTCCATTAAATGGGGCACAGGAGGCCAGCCTTCACTGTTTATTCTTTCCCTTTCCCATTAGTTGTCAGATTCTTCTCTTTACATTTCTATTTTGATATAATAGGACATTCTTGGATTTTAAAATGGTATGCTTGCAAAATGTATTATCTTTCCCCCAGACGACTTCTTATCCAGTCCAACATGAATTTTCCAGCCATGCAGCTTACACAGTCATTCTTTCTGCAGTCTTTCAGAATCTGTCCTCTGGGGATACACCTCCCTCTTCCCACAGTTCCCTTGATCCCCAAGGAAAGTTATCTGAGGGGCTGTATTATTAAATTTCATGGAATCTAAGACACAATTGGGTATGAAAAAGAGTCACCATTAACTGATGCATCACTAAGAAAGAAAAAGTCTTCATTCTAAGATATACCATTAGCTATGAGATATACCTCAATTTGAAAAATGTTATAATGTAAAATAAACAATGTCTCAGGTCTACAAAATGTGACATCTTCTCTATTTGACTGTAACCTCCTTGAGAGTAGTGACTGTGCCCTAGTTCTTTACCCCCTAACCTCTCCAAGGCAAATAGATCTTTGTATTTTCCAAGCATGCTTGCTGACAACTCTGACTGCATTAAGTATGTGTGTGTATATGTGTGTGGTGTTTGATCACACATTTGCATAGCACGTTATAACCATTTTGTCCTTAATGTCCTAGGAAATTCAAGAATGGGACAGGGATTGAATTGCTTTTCTTGTTTACAGATGACCAGCCTGAAGCTTAGAGACATAATCTGACATACCCATGGCACTAGGTCACCAGTAAGAGTGGGAATTAGGACCTGCAACTAAGTCTGAGTCTAGTATTTTGTTGTTGTTGTTTCCAGGTTCAACAAATAGTAAAAAGTAGAAAGATGTGGACTCCTCACCTCCTACTCTAGCTCCTGAGAAAAATCCTGCATTTGATGAGAAAATAACAAATGTTTCCATGCCCTAGTATGCTCTGGCATGGGGTTCCTTATTTTATCTCTGTGGCAGCTACCTGTCAACGTGTGATGCTTGGAGCTGAGGGTGGGGAGTTTGTACACACCAAGGCTATCTAAACAGACCATTAAGTGGTAGTAAAGTAACACATGTGAATGACAGGTCAATAAATCCCCAACAACTTATGTTGCCTGCAAGAAGCTGGCTGTTGCCGAATGTTGTTGTGTTTACATAAAATCAATTTTACAAGCAATCTTAAATAATTAGGGAAGATGCCATCACACAGAGGATATTCTGCATTCACTGTAATCGCTCTGGCATTCATCTCATTGATCCCTTTTGTCTGATATTATGTGTGGGTTTTTTTTCCTCTCAAGCTGCTATCTTCCCTGATAGCTTCTTTATGAGATGCTGAAATACTACCTTATAAGAAACCAAGACACACATTCTTATCAGTATTTTACAGACCAAAGACCTTGAAGTTACCTATTAGCTGAGTCTTCCTGAAGCTCAGCTTTATATGTGTTTTTCTTTAATTCTCTAATCTCAAGCCCTTAAAACATTTGGAGACAGATAAATTGGGGTAGGGGATAGGTACTGTAGATACTGAACATAAAAGTTTGAGAAAAAATTAAAACTGTGTTGGGTTTTATGATGATAGCAGGGAACATATAGACGAATATAGGTTTCTCTCAATCTTCTAGTCTTCTGGATGCTGCTGATTTACCCTTTATAAAGTTTAAATAGAATAGATTTTTGTTGTTGTTGTTGACAGCAAATATCCATTAATGATACATTGCAGGGGTACAGGATGAAGCCAATGGTCCCACCGGGGACAAAATTTCCTTTAGGGACTCCTAGACCAGGGATTTACAAACCAGAGGCATCACGCCACTTCAGCTGTCCCATCAGGTAAAAGGGAGCCACTCTGCTGGTGACTGTAGAGCCATAAATCCTCATTTACCATGGAATACTGTGGCTTCCATCTGTTTCCTAAAGTGCCTACATAAACTAAGTCTTTGTAAGCCATCTGCAAAATGCCCTCGTGCATGCATGCCGGAGTCTTGTGCTAATGCAATGTGGTGATTTTGCAACTTCAAATAAGGTTCATTTTAATTGTCATTGTTAAGATCAAA